TTTTGGCCTACAAGAAGGTGGTAAGTGAAAAGATGCATTTAGGAGATATTCTTCCAACTGCTGAAAGCTGAGCTGAAGTGTTGATGTCCAAGTTTTCCTGCAAAACCCATCTTTATGTTCTGAATCCTTAAAGCAAGGAAAGGTCTAGTTTGTCTGCTTTGTTGTTTGTTCTTTAAATACTGGTGTTTACAGTATGTGCAACAGGTGGGTGTTCAGGGAACAGTATTACAGTAAGATACAAGAAGTTTTTCCATGCTTTGCTTACATTCCTGTTACAGGCCTCTGCAGAGTGTAGCACACTCCCACTGAAGTAGAAAGCATGGGGTTCTAATGGCAAGTATGACATCTGAAATGAAGCATAGATACTCAAGAGAAACTATGCTCCTTCAGTGTAAAAAAATTAAGAACAAATGCACGTCATTCAGTATCTAAGAAATATCTGGCTGAGTTAGACCTTAGCCCAGTGCTCTGTCTCAGAGAGTGGTGATAAAGGCAATGTTTAGCGAGTGTAGGTTAACCTCACTGCTCTCTGTGGGTCTTTCCAGTCATTATCATAGAACGTTCTGAGTTAAAAGGGACCTTACAGAACATCTAATTCCAAACCCCCTGCCACAGGCACGGATAGCTCCCACTACACCAGGTTGCTCAAAGTCCCATTCAATCTGGCCTTGAACACTTCCAGGGATGGGGCATGGACAGCCTCTCTGGGCAGCCTGTTCCAGTGTCTCACCACCCTCATAATGAAGAATGTCTTCCTTACATCCAATCTAAACTAACCTTTTCCTGTTCAAAGCCGTTACCCCTTGTCCTCTCACTATATGCCCTTGTAAAAAGTTCCTGCCCACAGGACACCTCCCACTAGCCCAGGTTGCTCCAAGCACCATCCAACCTGGTCTTGAACCCATCCAGTGATGGAGCATCCACAGCTTCCTTGTGTGACTGGTTCCAGTGTCTTGCCACCCTCAGAGTAAAAACTTCTTCCTAGTTTCTAGTCTAAATCTACCCTCTTCCAGTTTGAACCCATTACTCCTCATTCTCACTGCAAGCCCTTCTAAAAAGTCTCTCCCTGGCTTTTTTGTAGGCCCCTTTCAGATATTGAAAGGCTGCAATCGGGTCTCCCTGGCGCCTTCTCCTCTCCCAGCTAAACAACCTCAACTCTCTCAGCTTGTCCTCGTAGGAGAGGTGCTCCAGCCCCTGATCATCTTCATGGCCCTCCTATGGACCTGCTTGAGTAGATCCATGTCCTTCTTGTGATGGGGACTCCAGAGCTGGATACAGTGTTCCACATGGTGATTTGCTTTCTGGGCTGCAAGGCCAAGTATAGCCCCCCTCAGCCTGCTGCCTCTGCTTCTTTTGATGCAGCCCAGGATGTGATTTGCTTTCTGGGCTGCACTCACATTGTTGACTCGTGTTGAGCTTTTCATCAACCAGTACCCCCAAGTCTTTCTCCTTAGGACTGCTTTCTATCCACTTGCCACCCAGCCTGTATTTGTGCTTGCAATTACCACAACCCAGGTGTGGGACCTTGTACTTGACTTTGTTGAACTTCATGAGCTTGGCATGGGCCTACCTCTCAAGCCTGTCCAGGTCCCTCTGGACAGCATCAC